TATCAATTACCATAGGTATTATTAAAGTACTACATTGAGTTTAAGTTAACCATGTGAATTCATGCAAGAAAGTCACAAATTTAGTTGGTGGATAACGGTGTCAATTTCTTGTTTTTTTGTAACAAGAATAAAGTTTTTCTTTTGTAAAAAACAAAAAGACTTGCTTGGTGTATAAAAATATTTTGAAAATAAATAGAAATAAGTAATAAATAAACATGTTTGATGAGTTACCAGAGGTGGCGGAGAGTGGCTGGAGGGTCACCTGCAATGACCGGCAATGGGTGGTGGCTGAAGGGGCGGTGGGGAAGAGAGGAGAGAATGAAAACTTGTTATAAAACTCTCTTTTTTTTCTTTTTCTTTTTTGTTTACAAGAAATTTGAAAATTTTGGAATCAATCATTTTTTTGGAACATTTACACAGTCCTAATTTATGAATTTACACTCCATTAAGTCTTAATTAAATTTTTTTGGACTTTCAAGTCCCATTAAATTTTTAATAGTCGAAATTGCCCTTTAAACAATGATTGTTCATAACATGATGATTTGACAATTATTTTGAGTTTCATGGCGGATTGAGAAAGTTCTTATTTAAAAAAAAAAAAAAAAAAAAAAAAAAAAAATTTTGGGGAAAAAAAAAAAAAAAAAAAAAAAAAAAAAAAACTAATTTTTTTTTTTTGAAAAAACTGAATTATTTTTTTTGTGCAAAACTGAAAATTTTGTATCTATAAAGGAGCATGATGATGGAACATTGATGTGCAAAACTGAGAAAAAAAAATTTAAAATGAAAAAACTGGTAATGTTCTCAATTTTAAAATTGGAAAAAACTGATAATGTTCTCGGTTTTATTTGATAGTTAAATCAAACCAATAAGTAAAAAGGCAAAAACGTTTAATCTCATGCTCTGTTTTTTTTCATCAGTTAGTGAAACAATTATCTAGAATATTACTATACAAAATTAATAATGTTCTTAATTTTAAAAATTGGAAAAAATTGTTAAAATTTACAGTTTTACGAAATATGACTTATTGGTTCAAAAAATCTTAGATAAGACCTAAGCTATCATAACATTTATTAATAGAACTTTTAAGTAATTAATTTTTTTTTTTTTAATTTTTAAACAAAAATAATGTACTAAATAAGTTTTCATTTTCAATTTTCATAATATAACATTTTGCACACAAGGCCGGGGTTAACCATGTGACTTGATTGAATAAAGTCACAAATCTAGCTATTAGATCAAAGCGTAAACAAACATACAATTGTAGGTCACTGAGCTTGGAGAGAAGGTACTTGGTTGCTCCCTCAATATTCTTCTTAAACAATTCTTGCTTCTCCAGTTCCAACTTAGGCGTCAGTGACTTAATGTACTTCTTCACAAACGCCACAAACTGCTTCTTGTCAAAAGCAGGTTGCTCCTGCAAATAATATCGAATTTCATGTTTCAAATAGCGCAGAAAATATATGAAACGGCTGATCTATCTATGACAGATGACTTCAGTTACCTTAACACCTTCTACAGAATGATTAGCACCAATATCTACATTTAACGCTTGAACAACCCACTGCTACACATCAGAATCACGAATATGTAAATGGCATGGTTATAATCTGTAACACATGAACCATATGCAAAAATCACTGTCACATTCTTCATCTAGGAAACACCAACACTTCTAAGAAAGTGGTGTGTTGGGTTGGAAATCATATTAGACATCAATGACACTCGTTAGACGCTTCCTAACATTTGTCGAACACATGTCTAAGGAGTAATCTGCAAGCAACAGGGGGAATTGTGTTGCAATTACAATAGTTGTCAGCCCAGATGAGAAATAAAAACCTTTTTTTTTAGCTTTTAGGGTGTATTTTTAGTTCAAGATCCATCCTACTACTCGGAACCAAAGAATTAGTAGATCTAGTCCGCTCAAATTGGGGCTGAGCAAAGGTGGGGCAGGTTGCCCCAATGGTTAGGGCGTTGCCTGGTTGTGTGGATAAGGCGCACGTCCCAGGTTTGATTCCCCACTGGGTGAGTGCCTGCAGTAGTTTGTGCACGGGTGTCCGGCTTCCCACCGGCTAAATACCCCTCAGGATTAGTCTTGGCTTCCCTAAAAATCGGAGGGTTGGGGATACCTGAGTTATCAAAAAAAAAATTGGGGCTGAGCAAGGGTTTTGAACTTAAAATCTATGATCTGATCATTGAGTCAATTCCCAGATTATAATTTCATTGCAGCAAGTGATTGAGTTCAGTAGTTCCCCATATATATTTTATCGACTCTAGAACATAGTAATATGTAGAAAAGAAATTGTTTCACGAGCCAGCAGACATACCGAGAAGAAGGGAGGGAAAAACCTACCATAAAGCCACCTGTCTCTGTTTGCCACCAAGCGCCAGATATGGGGCATTTTGAATCTCCAACTATATTGAAAAACCACCTGTTAAGATGAAAAAGAAAACGTGTCATACTTCTTGTGTTCAAAAAATGTAATCCAGCAACAAAAGTAGAGCTCGTAACCTCCATGCACTAGGATTTATAGGCTCGCCTACACTACCAAGGACTCGTAAGGATTTTCGTGAATAGCGGGTGACATACTGTATTTATATTTGAGGGTAGTTTAGTGTTTTGGCTTCACTTTTAATAGGGTTAAGTTCTTGTATTATATATGGAAGATTAAGCAATAATAGGGCAGCAATACTAGATATATACAATAAAGGCCAACACCAAACCAAAAAAGATACTAAAAACCCATGGACTTGATGGCAGAACCTAAAAGGTTAGAAAGTAGAAGTATTTATTTGATGATATACTAATAACAAGGAGTTTGGAAGGTGATACTAATAACATGTGGAATACAATGACAGAATGCATTAATAGAGCTCTTCTCCTCTCTTTTTTGCATGTTTAATCTTTGTTAACAATTACAAATTTATGCAAGAACATCTTCACACTTGGCCAAGACACAGAAAACTAGTGAAATAAATCAAATGAGTAGTCAACTCCAAATAGTACTATTGCAAAATATAATCTTAACTAGCTTGTCATTTGAACATATTTAAATTACACATACATGTAAGGTTAGAGAATTTTTTTACCTCATCTCCATCACGCATCAGAGAGCGCACCAGTGTAGGGGCAGTATAAAATATTGTCACCTTGTATTTGTCAACAATGTCTCAACATCGTCCAACAAGTATCTCCCCGTTGTCAAGTCTGTATATTAACTGCCAAGGAAGAATAAATCAACATAATTCAGATAAAAGTAAAATAATGAGAAGCATATAATTCAATTCTGAAGGTAGAAATTGAAATAGAAGAATAGTTACAAAATTTTATTTATAACGAGTGAAGGAAGAGTAATAAAAGAGCCAGGTATAAGCTTGACCACATGGTTTAGATTATCACAAGAACTTGTCAATAAGAACAGAAAAATGAATGTGACTGTGTGGGTGATTTTTCGACCACACTGCCAACTTAGTATTCAGCTAGAGAACACTGGCAGAATAGATGACACCTGGCTGACTTGCAACAGAAAGAGAAGATTCCGGCGGTGGTTCGTCCACCCGGGGGCACTCCGACGATCAAGTCAGTATATCTCTCAAAGATAATCAATAGTGTTAATCTCACTATTCAGAATACAAATTGCGTACCTTAGACCCATGGGGGTGCCTCTCTTTTATAGCTAACTCAATCCTTGTCCCAACAGGAGCCTAGCTCTAATGGACTTAGGATTACTATTAATCTTGGACTCCCAGTAGGATTGGGAAAAACTCCCTAAGAGTATTATCCTTTCCCAACTGTAGTCTTCCCCCTTTTCAGGACTCTTGTGCCTTATCCGCTTATCTCGGATTCCGATATCTTCGGAGGTAACCTCGGCCTCATCGAGATCACCTCGGCGTCATGACCAGGACACGTGACACCTCGGCGTCACCTTAGCCACGTGTTGGTACTCAGAAAATATATCCCCACAACTGCCCCCTAGGTTCTATTACCACGGCATTCTGAGGTGATGGAACCTATATCATTCCTTCCTGCCAGTACATCGGCTTAGCCGAGATCATCATCATAGGCCGATATGTCTTTTTAGAGATCAAAAATTCCAAGAGCTTCTTCACGTGTATGAGCTGTTATACATAACAACTCAACCGTTTTAGGCCACGTGCCTTCCCCTTACTGGATCGTACTTGTTACGCATTCGTAAGTCGTCTCGCACCTACATGCGCCGTCTGACGTATTAGCTGTTCCAGGCGCATTAATTGCCCTGTTTTTGCCGCCGTTTCAATTTTTTGACAAAACTTATTTCCTCCTTTCGTTTTTCTCACTTTACATTGTCTTTATTCAGAACTCTTTCTCTCTCTAGCTTCCTCTAATCCTCCATTTTTCCAAGCTCTGAAGCTCTACAACTTGCTCCATCCATTTCTTCCGTCGAAGTTCTTGCCAATCTGTTCCACTGCTGCCGTTCTTCTAACTTCGGCGATCTCAAGCATCGGCTTCTTTTCTCTGGTAAGTTACCATTCCTCCTGGTTTTCAATTCTTGTTGTGTTTCATGAAATTTTGCTTCATCATTAGTTGCCATTGTTGTTTTACTTGAATATTTGATTCGCGGATCATGTATCTGAGCATGTTTATTTCATATTTTTACTCTTGGTCCATGTCTTGAACACTCACACTATTCACATACCTGTTGGTTTCTGCCACTGTTCTTGGCCTGATACATTTGTGCAAACTTTTTGTCTTGATTTCTTGATGACTTCATCACCATTCTTGTTTCTGAAATGGATCGTTGTTTTTCTATTTTCCAAATTCGTCCCTTCAATCTTCATCTCCATAGTTTTAGGTTTGGGACTTGTTTGTAAAACCCACAAATTGCTAGAAAAAATTGAAACGAACTCCTTCTAGATCCATACAAACCCTTACCATAGTACACTTTTAGGTTTTTAGCCGAGGTCATTTAAACCCTCAAAAATACTTCTTCCTGAAATCCGATACCTCTATTTAAGCCGACGTCATGGGTATGTGGGAACATAGGGTAAACACCCCAGAAAAATTAGAGTACTTTAGGCAGGAGTTCGAAATCCCGGCCGACGTTCATCTGAGGTTGGCTGGGAAGGATGACTCTATCATGCCCACTGAAAACCTCATGCCTTTCCTAGTGGTTGTGTTTATTGAGTGTGGACTTAGGTTTCCACTTGACCCTTTTTTCTATCAAATCCTTCATTTCTATAAGTTGAACCCAATGCAACTTGCCCTCAACTCTTACCGAGTTATTAACGGTACCATAGCTTTAGCCAAACAAGAGAGTGCTAGGATTACTCTTGCCGATTTCCAGTACTATTATACCATGTGTCACCTGAAATCAGAAAAAGGCCACATCTACTACCTGAAGTCGAGGTCCACTGAATACAAAATCATTGCCGACCTCCCTGACTCCAACAAGGGAGCGGGGGATGATTACTTCATCGTCTCGGGAAACTGGGAATTTCAGCCAAATGATGACCTCCATCTTTATCCCTTTAGTCGAATAGTTTTCGGGGAAGGAGCTGGTAAGGGCCACCTTTCACAAATTTTCTTGCTTTCTTGTATAAAGTTTTCAACATTCTGTTCTAATGTCTATGTTTTTTTTCTTCTTTGCAGTTCTTCCTCAGCCACCAAAGGGCTTCCGTCAGTCTTTTCTTCCCAGCAAAGACTTAAAGAAACTACTGAATTTACCAGTTCACAAGCGGAAGGCCCCTCTGCTTCTTAACTCGCTCCCCACTTACAAGTCAGCTCTCCCCGACGTCCCAAAAAAGAAGAAGAAAAGCCTTTCTCCACCTTCTGCCACAACTCCACAAGTTGCGTCCACATCTCGGACATACCAAGGATCAACCTCTGATCCAGCTGAACAACCTTCAACCTCGGCTCCATACCTGATTCCGATATCCCGGCGCCGTCGCCGACGTTGAACAGTTTTTCCCGCCAAGATAGGCCACCAAAAGGCAGTTGCGAAGGATTTTTTGGCAATTATCCCTGATTCAATTGATGCCCAATCTGCGCCAACTCAATCTCCAAAGCCAAAGAAAAAAAGGGTGAAGAAGGCTCAACCAAAGGCAAATGTGACTCAGGTTGACACTGAGGATACTTTGCCAATTTCAAAATTGGCTCCAAGTGAGAAAACCACCTCCATCCCCGAGAAGAGGTCTGCTGAAACACATCCTGCCGAATCCAGCAGATCAAAGAGGCCGAGGTCGTCTGCTGCAACCACCTCGGGGTCCTCAAAGCACGAGGCCCCCTGGGCCCCCCAAATCACTCTGGAAGATAAGCCCGTTATGGCGAGCGATAGCGCCGATGGCATCAATGTCGGCGTTGCCCTCAGCACCGCTCTACTTCTTCCCGGCGATCTCAATCGAAACGCCAAGTTGAGTGAGTATGAGAACTATGCTCTGATGCTTCAGCGCTCTGTTCAAGTAAGTGCCTTTATTTGGTTCTTTTTCTTTCTTTCTTTCTAGTACTTAGAAAATTTCCTAATACCTTTTGTTTTGTTCACTTTCAGGCCATCCAGCATGCTCATTCTTTCTCAATTCAATCTTTCGAGAACCGTGAGAAGCTAGCCGAGAAAAAGAGGGAGGTCTCCACTCTTCAGAAGACTAATAAGAACTTGCAGTCAAAGATGAAGACCCTTGAAAATCAGGCTGAGGATGCTATCAAGGCTCAGCAAGACGTCGAAGAGAAAGCAGATGCTGCTGAGGCGATAAACAAAGTTCTTCAAGCCCAGCTGAAAGAGGACGAGGACAAGATGGCTGAGGCCCAAAAGGAGCTTCAAGACGCCCTGGTCACCAAAGAGGCCGAAGTCAAGGCCGCCGACGAGAAGGGCTATAACGAAGGGGTGGCTGATGTCACGGCGGACTACGAAAAGCAAGTGAAACAGGCATGCAACAAGGGTTTCACCCTTGGTTGGATGTCTCTTCTAAAAAAGCTTGATGTCCCCGAGGACTCGCCCCTCAGGAACACCGATGCCATTCCTCTTCCATTCCCTCCAACTCCAAGCCAATCCGCCGACGACGACTCTGAGTCCGAGGAGGAGGAGGTTTTGGTAAGGAAGTCCAAAGACGTTGCTGGGGCCAAGTCTCCTCCTCAAAATGAGCAAGTCCTGGACTTGACTCAAGATGAGGAAGATGAGGAAGTTACCAAGGATGCTGCTCCAGAGAAGGCGTCATCGGACATGCCCCCTGCCGATAAGAGCCTGGATGAAACCCTTCAAGAAATTGATGCTGAACTTGCGGCTGAGAAGGTTGCCGAGATGTCTTCTCAGCAGTCCTTCGGGGTCCAAATGCAGCCTGCTGCTGAAGACTCTTAATGTTGATGTTATTTTCTTCCATCTTTTGTACTTTTGCTTTTCTTCTTTTGGGAACAATTGTAAGCTTTTGGCCGACGTGCCTTTTTTTTTAAATATTAATACAGCTTTCCTTCTCTGAATGCTTGTATCTTTGTCTTTTCTTTACTGCTTTTGCATGATTCTATACTTACAATATTTTTAGTATCTTTAATATGTACTTCAATCTTTGTGTAACCTTCTCGGGGCGACACACCTCGGTCATACAAACTTGGTTTAGTTTTAACTTGTAAACTTTTCTCAAGTTTCAACAAGTATCATCATCGCGGTTTAACTCTAACTTGTAAACTTTTCTCAAGTTTCAATCAAGTGTTAAACATCATATCGGTTTAACTTCAACTTGTAAACTTTTCTCAAGTTTCAACAAGTGTTAAACAACATATCGGTTTAACTTCAACTTGTAAACTTTTCTCAAGTTTCAACAAGTGTTAAACATCATATCGGTTTAACTTCAACTTGTAAACTTTTCTCAAGTTTCAAAAAGTGTTAAACATCATATCAGTTTAACTTCAACTTGTAAACTTTTCTCAAGTTTCAACAAATGTTAAACATTATATCGGTTTAACTTTAACTTGTAAACTTTTCTCAAGTTTCAACAAGTATTAAACATCATATCGTCTCTCTGCCCCCTAATGTGAACCTCAGTTCCACTTGGGTTCTCATTATCTATGTATTCAAGAAATATCGGCAAGTATCTGAGAAATGTAGAAGAATTATGCTGAAATTTTATTCATTATGTCGGCAAGAAACAAGGAAAATCTAATGATAAAAGAATTTCAGATTACAAGTGTTCCAAGGCCTTGGCAATTCTTTGCCCTCATTATCTTCAAGCCGATATGCCCCATTGCCCAATACCGAAGTGATTCTGTAAGGTCCTTCCCAGTTTGGGCCAAGCTTGCCCTCCCTGGGATCCTTCTTGTTGTCGACGACTTTTCCCAAGACTAGGTCACTAACTTGGAACTCCCTTGGGTTAACTTTTTTATTGTAAGTTCTGGCAAGCTGCTGCTGGTATGCTGCCAGCTGAATTGCAGCTCTCTCTCTTCTTTCTTCTAGTAGGTCCAGATCTCGGGCTAAGAGTACATAATTAGTCCCGTTTTCTACTCCCTGGGTTCTGATCCTAGGGATGCCAACCTCCAGCGGAATGACAGCCTCTGTGCCATAGGCCATGGCAAAGGGGGATTCGCCGGTTGATCTTCTCGGCGTAGTTCGATATGCCCAGAGCACACTTGGTAGTTCATCCACCCACTTTCCCTTCGCTGCCTGCAGCCTCTTCTTTATCCCATCCAAGATAACTTTGTTGGATGCTTCTGCTTGTCCATTTCTTTGGGGAAAGCTTGGGGTTGAAAAGTAGTTCTTGATCTTGAACTTTTCACAGAAGTTCTTAATTAGTTTGTTGTCGAATTGTGTTCCGTTGTCGGCAACTATTGTTCTTGAAATTCCAAATCTGGTGAGGATGTTCTTCCATATGAAGCTCTTTACATCAACATCTTGGATTTTGGGAAGGGGTTCAGCTTCTATCCACTTGGTGAAGTAGTCTGTCGCCACCAGCAGGTATTTTCTTTGTCCAGTTGCTTGGGGCAGTTTCCCAACGAGATCCATGCCCCATTGGGCAAACGGCCAAGGACTGGATACTGGGTTCAGGTCTGCTACTGGCTGGTGTATCAGAGGTGCAAATCTTTGACATTTTTCACACTTCTTCACATAGGCTTCTGTGTCTTTCTGCATGTAGGGCCACCAAATACCCCTGGGTAATGGCCCTATGGGCAAGTGATCTGCCTCCAGAGTGGCTTCCACAATTTCCTTCATGAATTTCATATAAAAAACCTTCAACTTGTGAAGGATGTACACACCTCAAAAGGGGTCCAGTGAAGGATCTTCTGTAGAGGTGTCCCTCTGCTGTCAGACTGAATCTTGCCGACTTCAATCTGATCTTGTGTGCCTCCTTGTGGTCGTCTGGCAGCTTTCCTTCTTTCAGGAATGTAACAATTACATCCATCCAGCTTGGTCCCATGTCCACATACATCGCTTCGCGCTCTGTGGTCAGTGGTTCGATGCTCGAGCCCGACAAGTAATCAACCATTACGGTCCTTACTTTTCCAAGTTGTACCGCACTAGCTAGGTTGGCCAACGCATCGGCGTGGCTGTTATCATCTCGGCTTACCTGAAGTAGTCGGCAGTTCTGAAATAAGGCTGACAACCTGATGACCTCTTTTGCGTAGGCCGACATTCGTTCATCTTGGGCTGCAAACTCGCCTGTTGTATGGTTAACTATCAGTTGCGAATCCCAAAAAAACTATTACCTCATCTGCTTACACTACTGTTGCCAGCTTCAGCCCTGCAATGAGTGCTTCGTATTCTGCTTCATTGTTTGAGGCCTTGAACCCCAAACGAATCGATTGTTCTATTATCTGCCCATCTGAAGATATCAAAACAATTCCTGCCCCCGCTCCCTATCGGTTGCAACTCCCATCAACGAACAGTCGAAAGGAGTCGCCGATGTAAATGCTGCAGGGTCTGAGTTTTTCTTCTTTCTTTTGTTCTTTCGCCTTTACCTGGGCTTCTCCTCGCTTGTTTGGATATCGTTCATCTTGGCTCAACAGAGCCCGATGTACGATGGATTCTGGCGTGAACTCGGCCACGAAGTCAGCCAGAACTTGGCGTTTGATTGTTGTTCTGGGTCTGTACTCCAGGTCATACTAGCCTAGGGCGACTGCCCATCTGGCTATTCTTCATGTCAAGTCTCCTTGTTGCAGCAAGGACTTCAAGGGGTTAGCACCACAATTTTATGGGCCTGGAAGTAATGGTTCAGCTTCTTTGAAGTCATTACCAAAGCCAGTGCCAATTTCTCTAAGGGTAGATACCTTGTTTCTGCATCGGCCAAGGTTTTGCTTACATAGTAAACAGTCATTTGCTCCCCTTTTTCTTCTCGGATTACCACTGTGCTCACTGCATGTTCTGAAACCGCTAAGTACAGGAACAGCTCTTCCCCAGGTTCTGGATTTGAAAGAACTGGAGTTGTGGTCAAGTACTTCTTCAGGTCGGCCAAAGCGGCTTCGCACTCCTCGGTCCATAGGAAGTCCGTGGCTTTCTTCACTAAGTTGAAAAAAGATTTGCATTTGCCTGAACTTCTGCTGGTGAACCTATTCAGGGCTGCAGCCCTTCCAGTTAGCATTTGCACCTGTTTTGCCAACGCCAGGCTCTTCAAATCCAGGATAGCCTTGATCTGATCTGGGCTGGCCTCTATGCCCTTTCTAGTCACCTGGTATCCCAAAAACTTACCAGATCCTGGTCCAAATGCACACTTTGCTGCATTGAGTTGGAGCCGATATGTCTTAAGGATGTCAAAGACTACTTTCAGGTCAGCCAGATGACCTTCAGGTTCCTTGGTCTTCACGACCATGTCATCAATGTACACTTCTACCGTTCCACCAATCAGGTGTTTGAACATCTTAGTTACCAATCTTTGGTATGTTGCTCCAGCATTTTTCAGCCCGAAAGGCATCACTCTGTTGCAGTACAGTCCTTTGGGGGTGATAAACGCAGTCTTCTCTTCATCTGGGGAGTATATGGCTATCTGATGGTACCTCCTGTATGCATCCAGGAAGCTCATCCTCCCATGCCCCGAAGTGGCGTCTACCAGCTAGTCAATCTTAGGTAGAGGAAAGCTGTCTCTGGGACAAGCTTTGTTTAAACTGGTAAAGTCTACACAGACCCTCCATTTACCGTTCTTCTTCTTCACTACTACTGTGTTTGATAACCATGTCGGGTAATTTACCTCTCGAATGGCCCTAGCCTTGAGAAGTCTGTCTACTTCTTCTTCTACTACTTCGACATGTACCAACGTCGGTCTTCTTGCTCATTGAATTACAGGTTTGGCCGACCGGTCAACGTTCAGCTTGTGGCAAGTGATCTCGGGGTCAATGCCTGGCATTTCGTAAGGCGTCCACGCGAACACCTCAATGTTTGCTCTAAAAAAAGCTTCCAATTCTTTTTCCTTTTCTTTGGCTAAGCCCGAGCCGAGAAGAAAGAAGCGTTCTTCATCCCCTTCCTGGACGAGGATTTTCTTCAGTGCTTCTTCACTCTTCTCGGCTGGCTCTTTGTCGACATCTTCTAGGACCTCCACGTCCTCGTCTTTGATCTCTGCCTTTTCTGGTTCTCGAATGCTGCAAGTGGATTTTATTGCTACCATGGAGCAATTTTTTGCCTACAGCTGATCTCCTCTGACCTCTTCAATTCCATGCTCTGTTGGGAACCGCAATAGTTGATGCAGTGTTGAGGGAATAGCCCCCATTGCATGCAACCATGGCCTTCCCAAGATGATGTTGTAAGGGGAGGTATGTCGATTATGGTGAACTCTATTGTTATCTTCCTGGTGCCTGCCTGCACCTCTAAGCTGGTTGTTCCCAGTGGCCATGTCAGCGTTCCATTGAACCCGATCATTGGGCTATTGGATTGCTCCATATCGTCTGGGTGAAGGCCGAGCTCCTTGTAACATCGAACGTACATGATGTCGCAAGAGCTGCCTTGGTCAATCAGGATGCGTTTTACTTGGCACTCCCTAACTTGGAGAGATACTACCAAGGCGTCATTATGCGGATGCGGCACCATCTCAAGGTCGGCTTCCGAAAAGGACACTACTGGTCCTTGGCACTCCTCTGCCCGATGTCTCTTCTCCCCGACTTGGTAGACATGTTGCAGCTGCTTCACCTTCTGGGTCTCCCCCCTAATTTCGTTCTCGTTGACCTTTGAGTGAATCACATTAACTACCCGAGGTCCTCCTGCCTGAGGTTATGGTGCTGGGGGAGGCGGAGCTGCTGGCGCCTGAGGCAATCTTGTCTAGTCTTCCCTCGTCCTGGCCTCATCAACAAGGTCTCTCAGATGGCCTTGTCTCACCAAGTCTTCCAAGTGTGTTTTCAGGGCTCTGCAGCCCTGAGTCATATGCCCATCTTCATTGTGGTAAGCAC